CAAGTTGGAAGACATGCTACTCTGAAGAGGAGATGCGGTTGGGTCCAGCTTGCAATGGGTTCCAAGCTGAGGGGGTGTGTCAGATGGTAAGCTAGTTTATGAACATCCCATCTGGGACTGAAGAGGAGGACTGGGAGAAACTGTCTGTACCGGTACTGTCTGAGGACATGTGGCTAGTGATTTTGCAGTGGCTAGTGTCCTGCACAGCCTTGGTGCCCAGAGAAGGAACATCAAAACCGGTGTCAGGCCTCAGCCTCACCCACAGAAGCACACACCTGAATACAATCAGTCAACCCATCTTCATTCAATCTTTCTGTCACCGTGACATCTTCAGATATCATCAAATCTGACAACCAGTTAAAGCTTGGAAAAGGCTTTTTTAAGTCTTATTCTAAGCTTATAGGCAAAAGTGATACAGCTACTTGTTTTAGAGGCTGCAAGGAAAAGCAAACACCAGAACACCTTGTTCTATACTGCAAGAACTACAAGCAGGAAAGGAAGGAAGCTTTAGAAGCACTAAAGTCTCTTCTTACTCTGTATAAGCTCTTCTACATGCCAGAGAGTAGAAAATTCTTATTTACCTACCTTGAAAGGACCCAAATCGCTACCCAAAAGTGGTTCCCACAATAGGAGCCTCTAGAGGACATGGAATAAAAGATAGACAACAGAAAAACATACAGAAAACAGATAAAACTATAAAAAGATAACAGGTATAACAGGGTAAGATCTTAGGAGGAAAATGTTTAGGTTTTCCTTTGTTTATTCTATCATACTCACTTCCTTTCATCACCTTTTTCTCATCTACACTCCTTTACCTATCCCTTTCCCTTCCTTTTTTCTGCCTTAACAAGTAGTATCACTGCTCTCATTTAAGCCTAATACATATGAGAGCCTTGAGAGAGGATATATGTTAGTTAGTATAGCTGTGTCATAGTCTTAAACTCAATATACATATTTTGACCAAAAAAAAAAAAAAAAAGTTATTAGAGTAAACTTATACCCTTAGACTCCTCCTATTTATAACTATAATATGTTAGCTTAAAGTACTAATACCTAAACTAATACCTAGAGAATACTTACTCTAACTAGTCTTATTTGCTAGGGTAGTAAGACTTTTCCTTAGACCCTTGCTAGCAACTGTCCTGTATACAAGACTGCTATTACCTCCTTCCCTTCCTCCTCTGCCTCCTCTTCCTCTCCTTCCTCCTTATCCTGCTGTATTATTGCTGTTCTAGGATAGATTAATCCTAATATTACTAAATATTATACAGTTATTTAGACCTTTAACTAAGGAGTAGGGGTTATAATTAGCAGGCCTTTTCCTGTATAGTTAATAAGGTATTGCTAGCTTATTATTGTTGTTTTAACTGTTATTATTATTGCCTTTATAAGACTAACTTTTCCTAGACTAACTTACAGTCTCTTCTTCTCTATTATTAATACTATATATATATTAATAAAGAACTAATACTAGTACTAATACTAAATACTTACTAGCTATATCCTTGCTATAGTAGAGATAGATTAATAATATCTATAATATCCTCTAAGTTCTAAGGCTTAGGCAGTATTATAGCAATATAATAGTATATAAGATATCTAGAAAGTAAGTCTAGAAATATTGTTAATATTATTAAAATAAAATAAAAGATAGCTAGCTTATAGTAAGGTAAAGGTAAGAATATATAGCTATAGCAGTAAATATAGTACCTAGATAAAGCTTGTCTAGAAGAGTTAGCAGAGGTAAAAACAAAAGTAAAGGCAACAGCAGTAAGGCAAAAAGGAATTATTAATAGTTGCTAGAATAGTAAGAAGCTAGTATTAAGGTGAGTAGTATTTTAAAGGAAGGAAGGTAGAGCAGTAGGCTTTAGAAGCTAGTAGGAGATTAACAGGAGATTTGCTTGTATTATTGCTATACTATACTATAAACAGCAAAATATCTATATGTAAGCTACCTAGCCTGCTAAGAGGGACCTATTCTAAGACAACGTGGTGGGACGCAGAAAGAAGTAGTTTAAAAATACATCTGTAAAGGGTACTTAAGCAGATTTTATATTATTGCTAGAAGAGTTAAAGTTGTAATGTACCTCATAGGTGAGCCGTCCAC